CTATGGGATGAATCATCCCATGTTGCCACAAGGACTGCTGCTACTACTGAGCAGTCAGCAAGCAGGATAGATAAGCGTGCATGGCAGGGTTGAAGAGGAAGGCACGTGCAAGAGATTAGGAAAGGGACAAAGAAAGATCAGCTATTTAAAACTGGACATCACAAGCCTGGCTGGTAGTTCATGTTGTATATAATTCAGCCAATTCATTGGCTAAATCATCTCATATGCTTCATGAAATGCAATTTGCTTCCATGGCCAAGCATGACAAAGGTTTCACAGAATCGCAGTTGGCAAAGAGCTCTTCTAAGGTCGTTAATTCAGGGCCTGTGAGTTTGCTGAGGCATTTTGTCAGAACATTAAATAATCACACTATGTCATGAGGGAATATCTAATTAAGAGTCCAATTTCTCAAGTATCCAAGTACCTGTTACAGTGTTCTGAGAACCCTTAATTCCCACCAACAAAAGCAGCAGCTCAGGGTATTCCCAGCAGGCATTTAATAGGATTGTGCCCTTACTTCATTTGGATGGGGTAAGTCCAGGCCAGTCAGGTGAAGCGACAGTAATCAGACAAGACAAGATAATGACAAATAGGGATACATCCCAGCAGGAATGTTATTACTTGAAAATGATGGAACATCATTTTCTATGTGAAACCCCTCTAAAGAACAGGGCTGGATTTAAGGATGTACTCTTAGGGATTAAATTCGTGGCTTTGAGAAGGTCTGTCTGTACTCACACATGCAAAAGGTGACACATACCCTTTATCAGCCCCAGCTGACACCCTGTAGGAATAAGCTACCGAGTTCCCACCCACTATCTGAACCCAAGATCTTCAAGGATTTAGACTACTTTGCAAGGGTTGTCTGCATTATAAAGGCAGATCACACTGCATCCAGTGCTTCAGAACATAAAGCTTAAGAAGAATCTATTCAGGAAAATCTGAGAACCAAAGTTTCCTGAATAGTGCTCTTGGTTTGATTCAAGTAATGGACATTAATTTGAGGTGGGTAGATGGAGACCTTTCAGCAAGATTTTTTCTGTTGTTATACACCTGTAGCTCTATAAGAAGAAGAATGCTGGATGTGATCAGAAAAGAATAGATACTGTATTTTGATATATGATATGTCTTCTGATGAAGGTAGATGAAAATAGAAGTGTTCTTTTCTGAGTATGAAGTGGCATTACAAAAGAAGTAAATGAGAAAAGATCATACTATTATGCTAAGCTCTTTTGGGAGAGTGGAAGGTTAAAATGAATCTCTGCGTTATCAGGCTCTTAAGTGAGGGATGATGCATTAGACTACCTGATTTTATTTGATTTGTTGGGAAACCAGAGCTTCTGTGCTATTTCTTGAACAGAATTACAGGCTTCGTTTAAAGAGAGAAGCAAAGCATACTCATCATTCTAGAAGAGATCAACGTAAGCATTTTCTATATCATGAGTAATGTTTACTGGAAGAAATCAAATTACTGTAACACAGACCATCTGTTTTCTTTGCATGCAATCATGTAAGTGTTTTAGGGCAAGCCATCGTATTTAATCAATTGTAAATCTCTTATGGGAAGGCACTGCTTTCTGTAATAAAATCTGTTTTTGTGAAAAATGTAAGAGTTTTAAATACTGGCTTCCTCTGCATAAATATAATTTACATACTGTTCATAACATAAAGGGTAGGGGTGTACAGCAGTAGCTATTATCTGTTAAGAACTTAATATTATGTCTCTTTCAGTAGCCATTTTTGGATATTTGTTGTATGCACAATTCACTGGCGTTCAACACTGCTGGGAGAACAGCAAAATGAGTAGTAACATTTACTTATAGCCTGGGAAGTTGCTTTCTGCATATAACAAATATAGAATATATTGTTTCTATTTTGTTGTGTGTCTACCATGACTTAATTGATCACGGGAGAATTTATTTGTCCATTCTCTTAATATGTAAACTTGGAAGGACAGAAGGAAAAAAAAAAAAGGTCAGTTTTCTTGAAAATGACTGTAGAGTGACATTGGAAACACTGAAAAGTTGTGGTGTAAAAAGAAGACAACAAAGGAGTCTGTTTACCTTGCTTTTAATCCCTGTTAGCAGATGCATAATTGGGCACACCATCTTATTTTTGTATCTTTTATATCATTTTCCTTGATTCAAATACTGTCCTCAGGTGCATATAAGTTGTTTTTAAAATCAGAGGAAGCTGAAGGTCTGCATCTTAAGCAAAGTTCTCTGATTTCAAAAGAAGCTGTGTGTGTCCAATGCCAGAAGTTGTGCCGAATTGTATCAAATGGCCCTGAAATAAAAGAAGGGAACAAACAGTGTTAGTAACACAGCTGGAAATTCCTTAGGAAGGAATTGACTGTCCTTCTCAGTGAGGTCAGCAAGCCAGAAATTCATTTGTTCAGACATTTCCAAATCAATGGTATTTTGACTGAATAATGAGGCTGCTTTCTCAGGCTTGAAGAGTGCATGGTGCAAAATTCTTGCGTTTTCTTGGGTAAATGCTAAGAAGCAAAGAGGGAGAGACAGGTGAAGCACGCACTTGAAAATACAATAGTGCCTATACTCCTGTGCCATCCCATGGTACAGAGGAATCTCTCCACCCAAGGGAACATCGAGAGAAATGAAAGGCCCCTGTAAGGCCTCCCCAGCTCGTTCCCTTCAAGTACATTTGTGAAGGCTGGATTCAACAGCAAGTGCACTAAGCGTTTCACAGAATCACAGAATCCTGTTGGGTACACTGGATCTCTGGCAGCCATCAATAACATCCTAGTCTAAGAAAGGCAAAGTTAGATCAGGTTGGTCAGGACCTTGTTCAGTTGAGTTTGAAATATCTCCAAGGATGGAAATTCATCAGCTTCTCCCAGAAACCGGTTTGTCAGTCTTCCTTTTGCTGCCAGTGTTCCCCTAGAAGCTTATCTTGTTGCTCCTTGTCTCTCTCACCTGTTTCAAGTCTGGCTGATGCCTGACTTCCCTAGTTTCACCCCAAATGGCCAGAAAGTTACCCGCTCCCAGGTAACCCTCCCTGCCTCTTCGTAATCTGTTTGTCTATGCTGTACCTCTGCTTTGATTTGTTTGGTGGCTCATGTATGATAGGGAGGCAGTCTTCTGCAAGCAACGCGCTCATCTGGGCCTTTTTGCTCTCTTGGTTTTTTGGAGACACGTTTCAGGTGGAGCTGTTAAAAATAATCAAGACAAATGATGTTTGATTTTTCAGATCATCTTCTTACCATATCCATCGTTACTTTCCAAATCTTTTAAGCAAGACATAATAATGTATTCTGAAATATACATAAATATTTTACTTCCGCATTTTTTTTGCATTTGCATATGAGTAAATTTACTATTTTTTTTTTTTTTTATATTTATTTGGAATATGTCAAGAATTTTTCTTTCTTTTGCAAATTTTTCTTCTGAACCAGAACTTTTGAACAATAACCATGAGTTCTCTAATAGCTTCAGTAGATCAGGTACTATATTCTCCAGTTGCACAGTCTGTTTTACCCAAGAAGGTTGTATTGATATATTTAAAAGTGTCATAGAAAGTATTGGACAAGCTCTAAGAGCAATTAATGATTGGAAATTTTCATATTTTTAATATTAAGAAATAATTCAGCAAAATGACTTTATTCTATTTGTGGTAAACTGAGGGGTAAATGTGAATTACAGCTGTCATAATTACACTACATTTTGATACAATAGTAGTGTTCATCTGAACAGTAATAAAATAATTTGCTCAATGAGTAACTACGATAAGTATCTTAAAAATACAGAAGTCCTGACTCCTTTTTAAGAACAATGAGTAGAGAATACTGCTGTTTATTTTAAGAATTTCCTGTGTCTGCAGTGCTGAGTACACTGAAATAGGAATCAGTGACAAGGTGCCGTATTGGAGACTTTATTTATAGTAGCTTTATAATGGTTCTAAAGTGAGACAATGGATTTTGATACTCATGACCTTTAATAGAAAAATCCCTGAAGAGAATTTTGCTATTTTACCTCTAAAGTTGCCCCTATTACAAGTTCTTTGCATTTTAGGCTTTTTGAGGCAATGAAAAATGGTTGGTTTCCTTTCTTTTAAACTATTCTGCTCTCTTGGCTGTTTGATTTATGGTTTGGAAAATTATTGAGGGGAGCTCTAAAATTGACAAAGCTGGATGTTTGCATATTTCTACTTTTAATAGTGCTCTTAACTGCAGTATATTTGGGGTGATTGCATGTTTGCGTTTCTCCACTTGACCCAGCCATGGCAGTCAAGTGGTTGTAGAGGATGTGATTTATCTGTATGATTCAACAGCTCTTCTTCAGGTTCTCCACTAGATTCACCAATTTTCTGAAGAAAAAGGAGAAGTGTCAAAGAAGATTATCATGATCTCTCATAGAGCAATTAGTGCTATGTGGCAGAACAGAAGGAAACAGAAGTGTTTGGTCACCATTCTGAAATATACTGAGGTCTGACCAGCTCATCCCAAAAGTGGAAGAGTTTGCAGTTAAACAAACAAACAAACAAACAAAATCTTTAAGAAATACCTTGTCAAGTGAAAAACAAGTAGAAAGTATAGTTTAAAGAAGATACAGGAAAGAGAATATGCTGAGAATGGTGGTATTGAATGGATATTTCAGACAGGAGCATGGCCATTGCCACACACAGCTGGATAGAAACTAAAGAATAGATAGATTTAACATAGATGAAAGAAAAACATATTTGGAATGTGCACAATTACCTAGTGGAACTGATTGCTATCAGATAGAAAAAGATTTTGGAAACTCTCCTCACATTTTTTATCTTTCCAAAATTGCATAGGGCAGCTTAAACGATTCTGGCACTTTCGTAGCAAAGATTCCTGCAGACAGCTTTTTCAGAAACTCTCCTAGTCATTTTATTCCTCTATATTAGCTACTATTGAAGGCAGGAGGTAGAAATAACTTGAATTATGATATGACTGGAAATGATTGTTCGAACCTCTTCATACACCTTATTTAGTCTCTTTATCCTCTCTGTCACAGGGAACCATCTTAAACCCAGGGCAAGAAACATAAAGTCACTTGGCTGTCCCTTATTTCTAAGGGCACCTGATGCATAAGTGGACTAGAGAAAGGAAAGAAAGAAAACCTCCAAAGACCTACAGATCATCTTGCTGGCAGGGTGAGTAAATGTCCCTGTGTCTCATTCTTGGATTAGATACACAGCAAGAGATCCTGTTTGAAGAGCTGCCTCAAAAATTCTCTCTCCATTACTTTTTGAGAAAAAGGTTGTAAAAATTTCCCACTGGAGACTCACATATGTTCAGAAATACGAAGACAGACACCCCCTATATTTTCAGTTTAGGCCTAGAGCATGGATTTCATAGAATAGACAGTTCTGTGCCATGTTTCTTTTAATGTATGTGTGCTGTGAGGGCCGTTTTCAAATTGAGTGGGTGATACAGGAATATATAACTGTTACTGAAACTGTCCAAACTCCTTGTGATTCAAAAACAGATCCAAAAGAAAAAAGAAGGTAGGAAAAATCTTTTTTTTTTTTTTTAATTCTTGGCATGGTTAGACTCTTATAGATCTAGATATGTGTTCCACGCCTTGCTTAGGCAATTTTTTCTTGCTCATGAAATGAAATGGAAAAATTACCTAATTGAGAAGTCTATTTATGTGATAGCCAAAACCTAATTTTATGATCTCCTTTTCTTTCCATGTTTACCTATTCCAAAATATTGTGGAGGTACATACCTCAGCAGAGTTTGGAGCATTTCCTCCAGCTTATAGCAAACCAATCCATTGGATTCAAGTGCTCTGTCTACATATAATTTACTTTTCAACAAGATGATGAAAATCCAAACATATGACTAAAATGGAAGAAAATCCAACCCAAACCTGAAGATTACCTCAGAGAAATCCAAATAGTGGCTTGTGTCTCTGCAAAAGACAATAATAAAAATGTTGCATTCCTCCATTAGGATAGCCAAAAGTCACTCTGAGCATGTATTTCCACTGTGTTCAATATTTCTAATCTTTGCACCCTACACAGTGGCAAGGTTCTTGTCTGCTTGTGTTCTGTGCCTAAACTGAATGAAACTGAATGAGTATAATGAACTCATTTTCCCCTTAACACAAACCCACTGAACCCTTTTTTTTTCTTTCTTTTTTATTTTTTATTTATTTTTTTTTTTTTTAAGAAAAGGTAGTGCTGCTGAATTATGAATTCAGCTGTGTGTCAGCCCACCCTATTTAAGAATCTTAAAGCAATTTGCCAGAACCTGCAACACGATAAAACAAAATGAAGGGTGCTCCAGAGGACAAATATTTTCCTGCCAGCAGCTCCCTGATACGCAGTACAATATCCAGCAGTATAATAGTGCCTTTACAATTGCTACTTGATGATGTGTGTAGTATAATACTAGACTGTTTCTCTTAGCATACAAGCAATGTTTTGACTTTGAAAAAAGTCAGCTTTTTCATACTTAGTGTTCTTTGAGGGGGTCTGTGTAAACATAAAAGCTATCTGGACTTTGACGTAGTCCCCAGTTAGAAGAGTAATTTTCTTTTTTTCTTTCCTTTTTAAAATTTTTTTATTTGTTTTGTTTTGTTTTCAATAAATACTGCTCTGAGAGTGCTGAAAGATTACACTGCTGTACATAATTTTTGCAGAAATCAAGTTATTCCCTTGCCAATTCTGAACCCAATGGCAACAGAAAAACCAGTCCTGCTTTCTGCTGTTGGACAATGGAATCCATAGGAAAAAACTGTTCAGGGACTAGGGAGTCATTTTTCTCATCTAGCAGCAGTTTCTTGCCTCCTTGTGGAAAAAGCAGTAGAGCAGAAACAGCCTGTGGGCACTGGTTCGTCAGTACTTCATAAATAACACAGTGTCTTCTTCAGCAATGCAATTACAGTCTGTGATTTTAATACTGCAGTGTACTTTCTGAATCACCACTTATTTCCCTATTTCTATTTCATTTTATATAATATCTGTATAGTGGAGATGGGCTTGACATGCAATGACACAGTCATGTCATTAAATGAGGGGTACTGTGAGAACAGCAAGGATGTTCAGTAAAAGTGTCAACATAACTGAAGATTAAAGTTAGTATAAATTTTATTCTTAAAGCCATCTCTGTGTGCATTGCTTTTAAAATCAATGTGTAAAATACAGTCGTCCTCATGCTGAAAGCTTATTGAAGCTTCATGAACATTACTGCAGGGAAAATAGCAAGTTGGTAAATGATTAAATGTATAATTAAAGGTTTCACATTTAATCCTGTCACTGCAGTGATTTATGGTTTCTATTATTTTGTCTAAGTAATGCACTCCTTTTTTTCTAGTGTTTGTTCTTTTCTTCATTGTTGTTACTGCCTGTAATCTAACGGTAAGGAAATTTATCACAAGAACATTTCTGTCCTCAGCTGTAAGGTACAGAGAGTTAAATCACAATATAGCAAATGCAATTCACTTCCCATTGCAGTTGGTGGGAGAATTGTGAAATATTTACAGTGTTGGGCCAGAAATGCTTTACGTGTAAGATCAAAGGGAAGGATGTAGTCTCTGTGCTTCTCTGCTGTCATATTTAGGACTGAAACAGGTGTCTTCAGCAGTTAGTCCCAGGAAGGCTCAATAAAGACATGGGGCTGGGACATACAATCTGCCTCTGTAGTGCATGCCAGGATTGGGTGGAAACGTGCAAACGCAGCAGAACCTGCCTTGAAATAGCCCCTAACAAAGGCTGAACACAGCCCAGTGTCTACAAGCTACAGAGTCTGGACCCTTCTCCAGAGGTAGGTCACCACAGCAGGGTCTTTGGAAATGTCTCATCGGGCTTGGCTGTTGTCATTGCTACCAGTTGGTTACCTGGGAGCTCATTGCTCGTGCCCTTCCTCAGGAAGGGGAACACAAATCCAGGGAGTCTGTGCTGGCCCCAGCTTGAGGAGGGTCAAAGGCAGACCCCTGAGAAGGATGCTATGGACCCTTCTTTGGGCTATGGACACTTCTGTTGAAGGTCAGCTGATGAGGATGCAGGGTTCAGGGGGGCAGGGTGAGACTTCACAGAATGGAGCTTGCTGCCAATGATCAGTTCTGAAGTGGGGAACATGCCCTGTAGCCTCACAGCTGTTGCAAGTCCTGTTTGACATAGTGCTGGCCCAGAAACCCAGGGCTCGTTCCTCACTTCATCAAGCTGCCCAGACACTGGCTGTGCTCTCCTCTCATTAAGCTTTCAGTCAGCTGTGCGCTATTTACAGCTTTTAAACTCTGGAACTCCTGCAGTGAGACTGATGGGCCATTCTCTGCTCCCATGTTCCAGTCTAGCCTGTAGTTCTTCTGGGAAGTGGGCATCCATGCCAACTCAGGATGAGGAGAGCCTGGGAGTGAGATCCCTCACACACCTAACCCTTGTTAGGTGCATGTGGAGCAGATCTGAGTCTTTGGGGCTCAGATGTGTCAGGATTGCAGTGATGTTTGTGGGACTTCACAGACAAAGAATTAGTAAGAGAAAAGCTTCAGCATCCATTGAATGTAAGTTTCTTGCTAATAGTTTTCATATTCAGACAAGTAATTTTTTATCTGGTTGAGATTTCTTCTATTAATGAAGAACCCACTTAAAGAAATAAGATTTCTTATCCTACCAACCCTACTAAGATTCTCCCCTTAGAGTCTTTTCACAAAAGAATTGCTGTTCTTTTCCGGAATACTGCAGGTGAAATAGTTTGGGTTTTATTTCTGGTTGGCAGTTTGAATTCACTCATATGTTGACTTCATCAATTACTGTTACCTTGATTGGAAAAAAAAAAAAAAAGTTATCTGGCTTTAACCTGCACGTGGCTTATAGATGTACTGAATGACAGTTATTAGTACAATTTGATTATGCTCTGTTGAAGGCGTGATTTACATTCTCCATGCCACTGGACAATATTATTGTGTTCCTTCCTATTCACTGTCCCATTGAAAATATTTTTATGCGCTGTAACTATTACAGTAGAAACTTTTGAGAAGAGATCTTTACAGATTGTAACAGAGAAGAAACGAGAGTAAAAGAGTATTCTTGAGAAACGCTCATCAAGAAAAGGACATCTATTTTGTCTTTTTGCAGTCAAGTTTTTTGTTTCTAGTATTTTTCATGTTTTGGGTTGTTTTTTTAATTTTCATTATGGTTGGTTGTTTTTTCCTGCCACATTATTTTAAGATAGGTAATCAGCAAGAACATGGAAAGTTCTGGAAAGTTTAAAAAAAAAAAAAAAGTGCTAACTCCACTATTGATTGTCTTAATATTATTTTTGGGGGGATGAGGCTGCTGCATTTTGAGAAATGCATGCTTGTTTTAGTGAAGGAGCTTATTCACAATGAAGCTTTGTGTTTTTCTTCCTTATGTGATAATAGCTAGTTAAAAATCTAGCAGTCCAGATAAGAAGTTCCTCTTTCTCTATGCAATCACCAGAACTCTAATTGGCAGCCTGGCCTTTTCCCTGTCATTGCAGTCCCCATTTGGATCAGAGGTCCCTCAACACTTCCTAACACTTTCTTCTGATCTGGCTAATTTAAGTAATGGTTGCTCAACCACTCCTTCAGAAAAATAATTAAACATGCAAAACTAATCCAGGCCTGCAGCAATATTGTGTTCTACCTTTTTATGCACTTCTTGTATGTTAAAGTTCTCTTTGTCTAATTCATTTTACTCTGCTGGGAGTACAAAAAGTAAGTATAGCATCAGCTGCTCTTTAAGGCTGTATTTACTAGTCTTGCATTGAGAACTGCAGGTGTAGGTAACATCACAGTGTGGTAGTGGCCCCAGTAATTTCAGTGGGCTCCCTTCTGTGAGTCAGAGTTTGAAGAGTGCAGCATTTATCTTCCGCATGAGAAGCTTCAAAAAGAATATTGCTGTGTACTGCCATAGTATTTAGCCTCGTATGTGCTTAGGAGTGAATAATTTGTATTTTGGAACTGTCATCTATGTGCTTGTTTTGACAACATTGCTATTTTATTTTATTTTTTGCTTTTTCTGAGCCATAGAAACTGAGCATGTTAATTCCTTTAAGCTTGAAAATTACTGCCTTTTGGTGTTTATGATCAAAAGCATTAGCAAGATACTTGGGTCAAACTCCTTGTTGGAATGAAATGGCACAGGTTACTTGAAGTCAGTTTGTTGAACTAATCCAATAAACA